CAATTCAACATAATTTCGCAAATAAAGGCTAAACATGCGAGGGTTATTCGGTGAATTGTTAACTTAACATATACGAGTGATCATGCACGGCCCGTGGTGCGCTACGTGCGCAACCACTTATCCTCGGCCAAACATTTTTAACATGACATATCATCCGAACATTATAGCTAATTTAATCATGATATTGCACATAAAAGCTAAACATGCAAGATTGTTCGGAGAATTCCATGAAAAACATAACATGGTTCGGATAAATTTATTTAAAATATAACATGACCGCACGGCAATAGCTATAACACGCATGCATGACCTTTTTCATAACTTAACTTAAATGAACATGATATTCTCGGGAACTTACCTCTTGTTAAGCCTTCGGAGACTAACTCTCGAACTCCCGTGCGATGCGTGCGTAGTGTGCGATGAGCGCGAGCTCTCGGCCTTCCGTGCGGTGGCTCGTGGCGTGCGGCGCTCTCAGATATAGCTCCCGAATAACTCACTCAAAAACTCACTAACTTTCGGCAAAGCAAATGGAGGAGAAGAAAAATGGAGCTAACTCCCCAAGCCTCACACTTATATTAAGGCCGAACATAGGGCGGAGAAAATGAGGAAGGAAAATTGGTCTCATGCACGTGAATGTGCCAAGGAATATATGCTCGGCCTTGGACGCTCCGTCACTAGCATACGGACAAGGGGTTGGCGCACGGATTCTCTCGCAAGCAAGGACAAATGGTGCACGGTCTCCATGGCGCAAAAATCCAAATAGTTGCCCGGACAATGAGGGAGATGTTGGGCGCGGTTTCTTGTGCAAGGAGACAAAATGGTGCGCGCGGATACACGCACGGCCTAGGGCTCTCCGTCCGCTAACATGAGCACGGACCACACGTGATGCTTCGGACACTCCGCCCACCAACACGGACGAGGAAAAGCGTACGGACTTCAAGGCTTGTGTACACGCCTCGGGTACTCCGCCCACGTTGTTCGCGCGACGTGCATGGACGCGGATGAACACACACACACACGGCACTCGCACGACAATGGCACATGACTTGGAAATAAAACCGAACACTAATGCTAATCTCGTGATTAAGATAAATTAATCACTTAATTATGTTTAATTATCCAATTAAACATAATTCTAAATTACCAAAATTATTTCGAACGTAAACGGTACGTCGAAAATAGTTCCGGTAATTTCGACTGAAATAACTGAAAATAAATACTTCCGAAAAATAATATCGGAACTGAAATATTATTATGCTGATAAAAGTCGGGATATTACACCGGCCGTTATGAAAACAAAGCCAAAACGAGTGACCTTTTGATATACTCTGGTGAAGGTGGACTAATGAATAGGGGGATGAAAGTTGATCAAGAGTTGAAACGTGGCAATCTTGCTTTGGTGAATAGCATGGACGAAAAATGTCCGGTGCGGGTGATTCGTAAAATGACGAGGGGCTCTTCAGATTTTGGATATACATATGATGGGCTATACATGGTGAAAAAGTTTTGGAAAGAAAAAGAAAGAGTTGGCAAATATGTTTTCAAATTTGAATTGCATAGAATGTCGGGCCAAGAACAACTACCTCTAGAACGTACGAAACCAAGAGGCAAAGAATGTTGCATTTTGATGGATGTTTCTCAAGGAATGGAAAATTTTCAAGTACGTGCGATGAATGGAAGAGATTGTGAGAAGCCGGACAAGTTTGCTTACATAACTAACAATATATATCCGGATGGGTATATAAAGGTTAAGCAAGATGGTTGTGATTGCACTAATGGCTGCTCAAATTCACGACATTGTGGTTGTATTTTAAAGAACGGAGGTGAAATACCTTATAGCGAGAAGGGTTTTCTTCTCCGACGAAAGGGTATGGTTCATGAGTGTGGTCCGTCTTGCAAATGCCCTCCTTCTTGTGTGAATAGAGTTAGCCAGGTATGTTCCTTTAAACTATAAATATAAAAAGTTTGTTACACTTTGTATGTTTTATTTTTTTTTGTTATTTGGAGAAGTTATACGTACTATAAATTAATGGACTTTTGTTGAACAATTGTGTCACAATAAGAGCATCCTAGAAGCACAGTTTACAACGTTATAATTGAATAAATCGAACAAGAGCATTTTTAAGTGCTCAAATATTTTGATTGAAAAAACATATGAAATGTAGCAAATTAATTTGTAAGCCAAATAGGATTAATATGGAAGAATTTCAGTAATTTATACTCAAAATTGTGTGTACTCAAATAATTTATAGTCAAAACTTAGTTTTGTTATATATTATTTTGGAATTGTAATTTAGTATAGTGATTTATTATTTTGTGACATTTTCGTTCTCTAAATGTGATTCAACCCTCCAGCTTTAGTTCAAGTGATTAGGAGTACGAAACTCCCACTAATTTTAAGTCAAAGATATGTCAGAAATAGGACGATGAAGTCGAATGTTGCAATAGGTTAATTGTTGTTAAATTAGAAATCTTCTTTGGATTTAGGTCTATTAGAAGATATCAATAGAGATATTAGGAAGTAATCTTTGTATGATCACTTCTCCAACAAGACTTGAGGGTTTCTAAGGAATCGGATGATGAATTATTGTTGATTACGAATAATATGTTGAAATGAGAAAAATAATTGGACAAATAAAGTAATAAACTAAACATTAAGAGGTTGGTTGGATACAAAATTTCTAAAAAAATCAAAACATTTTTAATCCAACCATTTTTTTAACTTAACTTTAATTCAACTCCGGTATCATCTATATTATTATTTATTAATAAAATTAAATAAAAATCAATGAATAACTCTTACACACCACATCAACTTTAATTCATTACTCATTAAATCACATAATTTTAACTAACCATTACTTCATATCATCTCTCTTACTTTTACATTAAATCAATTTAATTATTTTATTTTATATATCATTTTAATATATCCACTAACAACTTACCAAACCACCTTTTTCAAAATTAACCAAACAAATCCAAACATGTAATGTATGATCACTTCTTAAATTAACTTTTATTCATTATTCATTAACTCACATAATTTTAACTAACTATTACTTCACATCATCTCTCTTACTTTTATATTAAATTAATTTAATTATTTTATTTTAAATATTATTTTAATATACCCACTAATAACTTACCAAACCACCTTTTTTCAAAATTAACTAAACAAAACCAAGCCATATTAGGAGGTAATCTTTGTATGATCACTTCTCCAACAAGATTTGAGGGTTTCTAGGGGATCGAATGATGAATTATTGTTGATTACGAATAATATGTTCAAATGAGAAAGATAACTTGACAAATAAACCAAACATTAAGAGGGTGGTTGGATTAAGAACTTCTAAAAAAATCAAAACATTTATAATCTAACCATTTTTTAACTTAATTTTAACTCAACTTTAACTCAACCCCACTATCATCAATCAATATCATTAATTATTAATATAATTAAATAAAATCAATCAATATAACCTTTACACCACAACAACTTTAATTCTTTTTTTTTTCCCAAGATATCATGACTCATATTAATAGGCAAATCGGCCAACAAAGAACAAAGTTCAGTACAAAGCCTTAATAATGAGAGACTACACACACAACAATGTAGCCTAATCGAAGCACAAGATAAAAATACTACAATGACCAACACTGCAAACACCTGAGAACAGAAACAATAAACTTGAAAACTAAATTAAGCTCAAAGCCAAACGAGAATACACCACTGACTCAAGACCTAGCATATCCCCATTTGAATCAGCTAAATTTCTTGAAACTCCCTCCATTCTTGTACTGCCCTGTCAATGATTGTCTTTGCAGCCATCTCTTTGCTTTCAAATACCCACAGGTTCCTCCCCTTCCATAGCCACCACAATATATAGGTGCTTAACTGAATTCTGTCTTCAGAAGTCTCCTTAAAGTCCATTGAACTCAGCCACCACCACCATTCTTTGAAACTAAAGTCCTCCTCCTCTGCTGGTTTTTGCCATTGAATAGAAGCCAACCTCCAAGTTAATCTAGCTTTAGGACATAAGAACAGAGCATGTACCACTGTTTCCTCATTTTCCCCACAACACTTGCAAATTGTATCAATCTCCATCCCTCTTCTCTTCAGATTGTAGTTCACAGGTAGTATATTAGTAAAGCATCTCCAAATAAAAATCTTGAGCTTACCTGTTACTTTGAGATTCCAACACCTCAATCTTGCTCTCTTATTGTTTTGGGCTAGATTACTTGTTTCAGCACAATGGTTCAAACTCCAATCTATCCTGCAGAACTCCTCATAAGCCTTCTTAACTGAAAACCTACCTTTATCAGAAAAGGTACATTTCCTCAGATCTGCAACTCTGGGATTAAGGGAGTTAATGGCCATGATTTTCTCAGCCACTGCAAGTTGAAATAATGCTTTCACCAGCACTTCATCCCAGCCTTTACCATTATTAATCAGAAGATCTTTAACCCTGAATAGACTGTGATCTAAATGCATCCTCATTTCAGGTTTCTCCCCTCTCATCAAAGGGATCCACCCATACTCATCAAGCCTTGCATCAGCTCCATTCTTTATCACAATACTCAAATGATTTTTCAGCCAAGGAATTAAAGCAGACCAAGAACTCCAGAGCCAAGAGACACCAGATTTTTTAGAATAATCAAAGATAGAGCAAGAAGGGAAGTACCTGGACTTCAACACTTTGCTAATCAGCATCTCTGGTTTCTCATAAATCCTCCATAATTGTTTAATAATAAGAGCTTTGTTGCAGGACTTGATATTCTGGAAACCAAGGCCCCCATTTTGCTTAGACCATGTCATCTTCTCCCAAGCCAGCCAATGGACCCCTTTGTTGTTTCCCTCCCCTTTTTTCCACCATAACTCGGCCAGCAATCTACTTATTTTCTTACAAATCCCAGATGGCAACACAAAACAGGACATGACAAAAATTGGCAGTGCATTCAATACTGCCTTAATCAATATATCTTTCCCAGCAGTAGACAAAAACTGATTCTTCCAACTGCAAATTCTATTCCTGACAGCATCCACTACAAACTGAAAAGCTTCAATCTTTGATGCCCCAATCCCCAGGGGGAGCCCTAAATACCTAGAAGACCTCTTCACAATCACCCCTGGTAGAATAGAACAAATCTTTTCTTTCAATTCAACTGAACAATTTTTGCTCAAGAACATGGAAGATTTATGGAGATTCACTTTTTGACCAACAAACTCTGGATATTTCTGCAACACCCTCATCAGAATGTTGGCATGATGTTCATCTGCCTTGCAAAAAGAAGAGAATCATCTGCAAATAGAAGGTGTGTGATCATTGGACCATCCCTTGACAGTTTGATCCCCCTAAACAAACCCTGACTCACCTGGTGAGCAATCCCCACAGAAAACAATTCAGAAACCAAAATGAAGAGATATGGTGATAATGGATCACCTTGCCTAATTCCTCTCGAAGGGGAGACATAACCAGAAACATTTCCATTCAGGTTAAATGAGAAAGTGGAAGTTGAGACACAAGCCATAACCCATCTTATAAATTTTGAGTGCAAGCCCATCTTCTGCATTGTCATCCTAATGCAATTCCACTCCACACGGTCGTATGCTTTCTCCATGTCGATTTTTAAAGCCAAAAAAACATTTTTACCTGTTGTGTGTCTATGCAGGAAGTGAAATATCTCATGGGCGATCACCACATTGTCTAGGAGTTGCCTCCCAGGAACAAAAGCAGTCTGAGCTTCACTGATACACCCATCTAAGCACCCTTTTAATCTTTCAGCTAACACCTTAGCCACAATCTTGTACAGGACTCCACAGAGACTTATTGGTCTATAATTTCTCAGTTGCTCAGGGTACAAACATTTTGGGATCAGAGATATCACCGAGTGATTCCAGTTTTTCAACATTGTACCTGTTTTAAAGAAATCAGACACAGCTTTGCACACATCCTTTTTTACCAAATGCCAGAAATGCTGAAAGAACACAGCAGTTATCCCATCTTCCCCCGGAGACTTATCAGGAGCCATACTGAAGAGTGCATCATGAATTTCTTCCTCACTGACCTGCCGGATTAATTCATTGTTAGCAGCATCTGAAACAGTCTGAGGAATATGATTGAGTAGCTCATCCCCCCTATTAGATCCTTCAGATTTGAAAAGAGAAGAGTAGTAGTTAACAATGTGTTCCTCTAACTTCTTCGGTTCAGTAATCACCTCACCTGTTCCAGACACAAGCCTCAAAACAGAATTTCTCTTTCTCCTCTGAGCAGCAAAGGCATGAAAAAAACGAGTATTTTTGTCGCCAACTTTAAGCCATAGAGCCCTAGACTTTGCCCTCCAATATTGTTCTTCCTCCATGTATGCCTTATCAAGATCACATTTTGTGGAGCACCATGTAACCCAATCCTTCTCCCTGCCCTCTTCTCTCAATTTTTCCATTTTGGCTGTAAGGGTTTGGATCAGTTTTTCATTGTTCCTCTTCACCGGGTTGTACCAGGATAAGATTGCCTTTTTAGTATGTTTCACTTTCTGATGAATTTTAAACATTTCAGAACCCTCACTATCCATTTCCCATCCTTTGGCCACAGCTTCTTCAATACCCTCCATCTTCAACCAGTTTCTATCAAAAACAAATCTCCTTCTAGATGATTGCAGTTCCATTTCAGTGTCATACAGGATTACATTATGGTCAGATGCACTTCTGAAAAAGTTAGACACCTCCATCTTAGGGAATTTCAACAACCACTCCTGAGATGTAAAGACTTTATCCAACCGCTCCTCCACATAGCCATCCCCTCTCCTGTTATTCCCCCAAGTAAAGAATGCTCCCTTCTGATCTTGTTCTTGCATTTCCATGTCCACTATAAAATCTCTAAAGGGTAAGAAACTGTTATGTGATCTTACAAGCCCACCCCTTTTCTCCTCATTGCTCACAATTTCATTCCAATCCCCTGCAATTGCCCAACAGCTCCCCCAATCCACCTTCCTATCCAGCAAAATCTCCCATTGCATACTCCTCATATTTCTGTCAGTGCTGATATACACAAAGACCAACCAACACCATTCACTCATACCAGGGCCCCTGACTTCCACCTGAATACAGAATTCATTTCCTTCAAGCTTTCTGATTTCAACCTCCTGATCCCACATCAATAAAAGGCGACCTTTGCTCTTCTCAGGCTCCTGCAAGTGCCATCTATCTTGGAACCCCAGCTTATTACATACAGTTTTAGTAAAATATTTGTTTTTTTTTGTTTCAGATAAAAAGATAATATGTGGGTGGTGGATTCTTCTTGAATCCTTGATTTGGGAAACTGTACAGGGCCCACCCAGCCCTCTACAGTTCCACACCATGACCTTCATTGGTCACATTGGGGCCACTCCAGGCTGGCCTTCTCCACCTTCTTAGAAGTTAATTTAACTCTCTTTCCCATATGTTCTTCCTCCTTGTTTTGAAATTCAACCACTTGAAGATCTTGCTCCTTATTTCTCTCCCTTTTCCAGCCACTAAAAGATATGGAATTCCCTTCAATCACCGGACTTCTCAATAGTCTACCAGCTTTAGCTGCAGCTCTTCTCCATGTTCTCCTACTATCAGCCAGCAGCACTTCAGCTTCAACTCCAACATCTATCAATGGTGAATTAGCTTCTTCTATCACCATGATATCCCTCTTCTCATCACCCTCTTTCCTGATCTCCACTTCAGCAATCTCCTCTTCCTCACCCAAAGGAGACACCATCACCAACTCCAGAGATTGACCACCCTCTTTAGTACTAAGAGCTTTATGAACAGAAGAGCCACCTTCTCTATTCTCCCCTTTCTCAGAATGTGGTGGATGCCTCGAGGTACTAGCTGCAGCACTGGTATCCATTTTAGGGTTTGGAGCAGGAGAACTCTCTTTAGGTTCTGAGCCACTATTAACCGAATGTCTGTTCCCATAGATGAAAACAGCAGCTTTAAGCCAGTCCCCAAATTGCCCTTCTTGCAGACTTCTGTTTTCAATATCCATCAGCCGAGTTTCACAATTTTTATCAAGATGGCCAATGCACCCACAGTAGTAGCACAGATTTACTAAGCGTTCATATTTGAATTGAACCATCGTCTGCTGATCTTCGAGCTTCACCACTGTACATCGAGGCAATGGCTCCTTCGTATTGATGGTTGCCAATAGCTTAATGAAGTTGCCCTCGTCCCCTCCTAATCTGCAGATAGTGACATTCTTTACCCCCTCAAACACCTCCCCTATTTTCAGCCCAACCTCACTGCTCATCCAGTTAAAAGGGACATTTAGAACATGCACCCACAAGTTCACTTGGTCGAAACTTCGATGTCTGCTGGTTAATCCCCTCCGCCATTCTCTTAAAACCAGATATTGATTCTCTAATAGCCAACTATGCCCCGCCATAACCCTTTTCCTATCATCTTCCGAGGAGAAGATGAATTGAAAAAAATTTGTTTCCAGTTCACGAACCTCTAATCTTTGGTGAAGACGCCAAATTGCACTCATAGCTCGCTTGACCCCCAGAAGTGAGGCCTTGCGGTTACCAATCACTTTCCCAAACAAACTATTCACACATTCCTCCTCACTCGACACAATGTCTTTGCGCTGTATTTCGACACCCCCAGATTCTTCAACAGATAACGAGAACTTCTGGAGCTTTTTAGTAACCTCATCCCCCAGATCCCCCGGATCCGCCATAAACAACAACAAAAATTCAGAGAAATTCGCTATGAAAATCGGATCTCCTTCACCAAAGGAATAAAATCACTCCCACCTGAGAGGATCGCACCCACTCCCACCTGAGAGAATCGCAAATCAAAAAAAAAAAAAAAAAGTTATAAGACTATGAATTAACTCACATAATTTTAAGTAAGCATTCCCTCACATCATCTCTCTTACTTTTACATTAAATCAATTTAATTATTTTATTTTAAATATCCTTACAGATCATGTATAAATTAAATGGTTTGTAAGCCAAATAGGATCAATATGGAAGAATTTTAATAATTTATACTCCAAATGGTGTGTACTCAAATAATTTATAGTCAAAACTTAGTTTATTCTATATTATTTTGGAATTGTATTTTAGTATAGTGATATATTATTTTGTGACATTTTCGTTCTCTACAAGTGATTCAACCTTTGAGCTTTAGTTATAGTGATTAGGAGTACTAAACTCCCTCTAATTTTAAGTCAAAGATATGTCAGAAATAGGACGATGAAGGCGAATGTTGCAATAGGTGCATTGTCGTTAAATTGGAATGGAATCTTCTATGGATTTAGGAAGTAATCTTTGTATGATCACTTCTCTAACAAGATTTGAGGGTTTCTAGGAAATCAGATGATGAATTATTGTTGATTACGAATAATATGTTGAAATGAGAAAGATTGGACAAACTAAACATTAAGAGGGTGGTTGGATACAAAACTTTTAAAAAACTTTTAAAAAATAAAAACATTTTTTATAATCCAACCATTTTTTTAACTCAATTTTAACTCAACCCACCACTGTCACCCTATTATTAATTATTAATAAAATTAAATAAAACCAATCAATAACTCTTACACACCACATCAACTTTAATTCATTATTCATTAACTCACATAATTGTAAGTAACCATTATTTAACATCATCTCTCTTTCTTTTACATTAAATCAATTTAATTATTTTATTTAAATATCATTTTATTATACTCACTAACAACTTATCAAACCACATTTTTTCAAAATTTACCAAACAAAACAAACCATATTAGGAAGTAATCTTTGTATCATCACTTCTCCAACAAGATTTGAGGGTTTCTACGGAATCGGATGATGAATTATTGTTGATTACGTATAATATGTAAAAATGAGAAAGATAAGTGGACAAATAAACTAAAACATTAAGAGTGTGGTTGGATATAGAACTTCTAAAAAAATCAAAACATGTTTAATCCAACTATTTTTTTAAGTCAAATTTAACTCAATCTCACTATCATCAATATTATTAATTATTAATATAATTAAATAAAATCAATCAGTAATTCTTACACATCACACCAACTTTAATTCATTAACTCACATAATTATAACTAATCATTACTACACATCATCTCTCATACTTTTACATTAATTTAGTTTAATCATTTTATTTTATATATTATTTTAATGTACCTACTAAAAACTTACAAAACTATCGTTTTCAAAAGTAACCAAACAAAACCAAACCAAATCAAAATTTTCAAACAAAACCGAATTTTATATCCAAGCATAGGTTATTGTATAGTTCTGTCACAAAATGAAAAGTTAGTGTTAAATTGATATCTCAAAAGTAATTGTACTAAACTACAATGACCAAAAGTTATTAGATGGAAATTATATTTTTCTATTTAATTTTGGAATATATAACTATAAAATTCACGGACACTTTACACATTTTAGACAATCTAAAACATTATATACTTGTTTGACAGGGCGTGATTGAATACAAATATAACCGCTCAATATGATTTTTTTCGGTTAACCTTGAAAAAAGCTGCTATGACAGGGTGGTTTGGTTAGTTGTTAGTGAGTCTTTGAGTTTATATTTAAGTATCACTTAATAAATCCCCGTACATATAATTCTCAAATGCACTGAGCCTATGTGGTTGCTTCTGGTGCTTTAGAATCCTACTTGGCAAATAATCATGCTTCATAATTAGATTTGGTCAAATAATATTTATATATTAATAATTAATAATCTAGGTTCAGAATTCCATAAATATTATTTAGTTAACTTAGATATTTTAATATCACTTGTACTAATATAACCCTTTAATTCTTTGTAATTCTACATAGTGAGACATTAAGTGACTAATATGTCCCTGACTTTTTATTTACTTCCTATAATTACCTATTGAATTTTAAATGTACTTTAAAAGTTGATAACTTTTGTATTTCTTATGGGTTTCACATATATAATGTATCAAATTATTCATCTTTTAATGATCTTCGATTTGACATTCATATTGTATATATGAAATAAATAAATTGTGTTTATCTTTATAATAATAAAAAATAATAATATTTACTAAAATTCATTAGAAAAATAAAATTATTTCTCAATTGATATATTTATGTTTAATGGAGTTATATGTTGTAAGTTAAAAAAAAATTATTATAATATAACACAAGTAAGTTGCACAAATAAAAAGTGTCATACTAAATATATAATAATATATTTATTTTTATAAAAAGTATTTAAATTTTTAACTACTTTTTCTCATTAATTTTAGATTTTAATAAAAAAATAGCAAGCACCCGTGTAATACACGGGTGTTGTACTAGTAATAATTAAAGTTGATTTGAAGTAAAAAGTAAGGGAAATGATGTGAAGTGATAATTAGTTAAAAAATTACGTGAATAAATAAATAATGAAATAAGATTGATTTGATTGTAAGAATGATTAATTTGTGTTATTTAATTATACTGAGGATAGTAAAGTTGAGTTAAAGCTTATTTTGATTTTGATTATTGATTAGAAATTTTTGTAAACAAACGCCCCTCGAATATTTGCAAATAAATCATATGTAAAACTAATTTTTCCCTCTATTGGTTGATAGAATATAGAAGAGAATGTGAATAAACTAAGTTACATTGTCCACATTATCCTCATCATTAATACTTCGATAGTCACTTGTGCATTAGATTATATAAACTGTAGACCATATCAAACATAATGATGTTGAGTCTAATATAATGTACTACAACATAATGGCATGCACTGGTACAATAAGGCAACACAATATGAAACCAAAATTGGGACTAGCTTCGTATGTGTGTGCAACAAAATAGGTGTTGTGTTCTTTGAATGATGGTGTTCTAATGAAGACTATTGAAACTCCTAAAGCCTTGAACATCTTACAAATTTTGTATTTAACTCCAATATAGCATGAGTTTTCATTGTTTTCTTCAACAGCACGGTCCGCGATATCAGTTAGAGCTTTACCGCACCGAGTCAAGAAGGTGGAGTGTGAGATCTCGAAGTTATATTTCAATGGGGAGTTTCGTTTGTGAATTTATTGGAAAAGTGAGGGACGGGGATGCTATACGAAGTATTAAACTTGACTTGCAAAGATCCTCGAGCACTATAATTTTAAAGTCAAAGAATGACAATTCCATCATCACACCTCCGAATGAAAATGTGGTGAGGTTTGCTATTGATGCATCGAAGGTGGGAAATGCGGGGAGATTCGTCCGCAAGAGCAGCACGCCGAATCTTGTTGCCCAATGTGTAGTTTATGACCATGATGACTTGAGAATGCCTCACATCATGTTCTTCGCCACGAGGAATATACCTCCTTGGCATGAGCTAACTTGTGATGTTGTCCTTGGTATTGATTGAAGTACTAATTTTGTAGATGTCCTGCAAAGATCTATATTATTTCAAGTACGCTTCTCAATTTTTAGGCTACTATGGTAAATGATTACTCGACAAAGTAGTTTATGTTATTGTAAGACAAGACTTGTGGTTTATGTTTTGGTTGCATAAAAAGTAGTGGTTGAAGAGTTTTGTTTAGTGTTTGTGCTTAACGCATCTTCGATGAAGCTAATTTTTCAATTATATTGTCCTTATGCGTGAGTGAATTTATTATTATTTTTAATATGGGGCGTATGTCATAATATGCAACGTCTTAAGAAATATCTCTTAAAATTATCCATAATTTCTTGAATATATGTGTGTATGTATATAAAAGAAATAAGAATATATCTGAATCATTTGATTCCCTACATCAATGGCTATGAGAAAGTCAAAATTAATTAAAAATGGACAATCATTAATGGCAATTTAGTAATTATTTGATCATAGTGTGGTCAAATATGTCCGTTTGACCAATAATTAAGGGTATGTTGGTCAATATACATATATTTATGTGGGACCCACTCACCAATTAATCAAATGTTTTCTCTTCCCTCTTTTTTTTCACCTACCCGATTTCAGATCTCTGCACACACACACACACACACACATAGAGACAAACACACACGACGACCATTGTTAGAAGCTCCGCCAGAGATAGAACTCGCAGCTGTCTTCACCCAGCCAACCGCCGCCGCCTTCGACCATGAGCTCATCGCCGCCGCCCATTCCGATAACGGCCACTGTGTCCCTGAGTTGCCTTCGAAAAAATTGGTTGATAATTTTTGCACTCTTCTCGTCGCATCTCTACCATAGTCGACCATAGTCGCGACTGAATGAAAAACATCTGCTCAAATTTCGATGTCGCAATTGTTCTCTAGCTTATCAAAGTTTTTAAATTTCCTTTGTGTGTGTGTGTGTGTGTCGGTGTGTTTGGGTGATGGTGTCTGTATGGACAGGACGTCGATTGACGGACTGGCGGATGCGTGAGGACGGCGGAGGAGTATGCACGGAGGCGACGACGACCTGTGCAGTGGATTAATTTTTCTTTTCTTTTCCTTTTTTTTTTTGATTGAGGACTGCGTCGGGTTGACCGGGACTTTGGCGATGAGGGCGGCGGCGGCGGCGTTAACGAAACCGGCATGAGCAGCGGACCTGATATGTGGTGTTCATTTTTTAAGATGGTGGGGTTTTTTTTATGAGAATTTGATATAGTTTAGGGACTTTATTGCAAATTGTAAACTCATATTGTATTGTAATTTAGTTTGTGGTCAATATGTAATATAA